TTCATCATCATTATTTTATTGTAATCAATAGAAATATAAAAAAGGTTCTATTTTAGTTGAAGCAATCAAGATATTCTTTATCTTCATTTCGCTTGAATGAGGATAAATCGAAAGGAAACCAGTTTTATTAATGTCCAGTGCGAGGTGTGAGATAAGAAAAGCTATCAAAGGGCTGGAAATATTTTGCAGAGATAGATAGTTTTATATATCATCATAAGAGAACGAAAGAGTAAGAAAGAAAGATAAGTAAAAAGAAATTCAAAAATTCCTTATTCGTGTTGTGGTTAATTATATAAAATGAAATGATTGAAATCAACATGATAAGAGAGATATTAAAAATGATGAATATGTTGAAAATATTTTTTATTCATTCAAATAACGAATTTTTCCTAATCCCAATATGGTGATTCCTTTGAAGCTGAAGGTATACTAGATGTCCTGTGAATCCTTGAATCTTATTTATTTATCTGAATCCTTGGGAATGTTTATAAAAATAACATCTTCTGACATGAACAATATTTATTGAAACTATTTCCTTATATGAAGTGTCTGTCCAGGTTGTCTTACTGTTTTATATTTAATTAATTGAAATCGCAATGCACAGGAATACCTGGACATTTTTGTGCCTGTTTTTTTTTTATTCTTTATTTCAAACTAGACCTGGAGAAATCAAGAGAGAGAGAGAAACATTCAACGCACTTGGAAATATTTTAATGGCGCTTTGTGTCTCTCTGAGTTTCGAGGAGTCTTTTATTTAACGTCGCCCTTTTGTTTCTTCCAATCCCTTGGGCTTCAAACCTTCACCACCACCATCACCATCACCCAGCACCACGTGATTGTTATTTTTTGATTCTCTTTGCTTATGTTTGTTTCTGACCACTGGTTATTTTAATTGGATCTTACATTTTCTTTTTTTTCCCCCTTCCCGAGTTCAAATAAAAAAGAAGCTTGCTAAATTTTTTCTACATTCTTCTGATGGATTCCTCATATTTCAAACAACATTCGACTCTGATCAAACCTTTCTAGCTATCAAACATCAGTTTTTTGATGATTAAAATTCTTTGGTATTTAAACCTTTGGTATTGTTCAATCTTATTAAATAATCAGCAATTATCAAAACATTCTTTGCCATTTAGCAACCTGGACCTGGATTGAAACCTGGTTATCAACTCAAACTCAGATGTTGAAGGTTTTCATCATTGATTTTCATCAACTTCCTGAAGTCAAACCAGGAATAGCATCTCCACTTCAACACCTGCATTTTATTCTGGAGCTAAAGAGCTTCTAGATGAGCTTTTATTGATCAAAATTGGATTACTCTTCACCAAGTTACGTCATTTTAAAAACTCTAAGGTATTTGTTGCTTTTGGTCATCATAAATTGTTGAAAATATTCGTAATAATGAATGACCAAAAAATACTGGTGGATCTAATAAAGTCTATTGCAAAAAAATGATGTTTTAGGAGGATTAGTTGGGACTACCAAGTGAAGGGACTACCGGTTGGAATAAAGTTCCTGGGCCTCCTGTGGAGCAAAGCGGTAACAGGCGATTGGTGAGTTTAGTATTCCGACTGTTGCCGCGTGTTCTCTTCGTGTCTTCATCTTTTAAAGGTGGCACGTTAGCATTTATTAGCGGCGGTTATACTAGCCACTCTGTGAATAGATTTAGCTTCCACCAGCGAACATGGGTCATCCTAAACCTTATATTACCTGCTATTTCATTTTTCGCAGCATCTCTTAATTTCCAGTCAAGTGAAATAATTATTTTCCAAGGAAAAGTCCCTTTTTCTTCTTTGATGTTTCAATAATCTTCTTCATTCAATGACTAATAATTTAAATTTCCTAGATGATTGTTTGATGTTAATCCTTTTGGGAATTTTCAAAAAAAAAAAAAAAATACTCTCCCAATTAACAAAGAAATTTATTTCTGGCTATAAAGTATTTTTTTTACCACGTGTATGATCGGTTAAATGGTGTGTATGCCGTCGGCAATAACCGCATGTTCAAAAGAGCCTGGGGTCATTTACGGATCTTGATGACAGAAGAGAAGTGATTGATGCTGAGTCCTCACCAAACGATACCTCTTTCTCTTCACTACCCATGGTGGATCACCAGTTATAAATTCAACCTCTCACCACCAATTTGATGGATTCACTCTCAGAGATTTTGCAAAGCAAATGACTCTCATCACACTAGGATAAAAAAGATTGGCTCTTCGTAACGATCTAGAGTGTAGTAGCAAATAAAACTGTTGATGGGAAGTGAAGCTGACCAAATCCTGGTCCAACACCAGACCAAGATAAGCTAGATAGTCCTAATGATGGGCCAGGAATGACCTAGTCCTGCTGTTTATTAGAAACATTGTTAGCATGATGTGTAAAGCTGGAATAATTATCTTCATCATCTACCTAGAGACTTGGAACAAAGACAATTATCATTTCCTTGATGGTATTGATGACCATCTGAATGGTTGGTGATCAATCCAATGCTTCAGCATTGTTCCTACATCTTTTTTGTTTCCAATTGATTGTTCTGGAGAACTGTAGAGAGCTGACTAGTCAATAAAACCATCAGGAATAGTTGATTTCAAGCAATTGAGAAATTTGTAAGCTGAGAGAGATCATGTAAGATTGCAAGTACGTACGTTTATAACGAGTTAGTAGAGAGACGGATGAGGGAACGATCAGTCTCTGGCCTCAGGCCGTGAAATCAGATCCAGTATCACCCAAGACACCACGTCGTGTTTGCTAAGACACGCAAACGCAACGAGAGAATGACGTACATGTTAATTTTGAATTTTAAAAAAATTCATGCAAATAGTGTCATGTCAATTAAAAGTTTGATTTTTGTCAATGGATAACGGAGCAAAAGACTTCAATAAATATATTTTTTTGCCAATAAAGATGGATTAATTTGTTAGGTACTGTTAAAAGAACATAACAAGTTTTTCATAAACTGATAACCTTGATACCAGTGATTTAATAATTAACCCGACCTCGATGAAGAGATTGGATTCTTTGAGAGATTTATCTGTTGAGATTTTTTCGATCGATAAGATCAATTGGCTTCAGCGTTTTGGCAAATTAAAAATTAGAATTATAAAGTTTATTGCTTGAAAATGGAATCAGTGAATATTCACTGTTTTTCAGTGATATAAATATCACTGATTTATTTTTAGAAAGAAGGGTATAAATAATTTAATAATTTTATAATAGAAATTAATAATTAAATTTTTAAATACTTGTCTTCACTGAGAATAAATCAGTGAATATTCACTGCTTGCAGTGATAATAATAGCACTGATTTAGACACTGATACTTTTATGATTGAAAATTAGTGAATATGAACCGCTTTGCACTGATTTTCACTGATTTATCCTATGATCAACATGATCTATATTAACTCTTTTGAACTAATCAGTGAATAATCACTGATTTTTACTGATTCACTTTAGGAGATTAAACTAAAATTTTTCGAGTTATTTATAATTATAACCGAAAATAGTACTGATAATAAAAATGTTCACTGATCACTGATTAATTCATATTTAATCGGTTTACTGATTATTTTACTTATTTATTTTAGATAAAATAATTTTTATCTAAATTTTATCTGAAAGGCTGCAGATTTAGTAGATATTCAGTGAAAATCATCAAAATGACTGCACATTCAGTGAATAATCACTGATTCTGCAGTCATTTTTGATTGTTTTCATTGTTTTTTAATTTTTCAATATGAGTATGTTAAGTAAAGGTAAAAAAAAAATTAGCGAAAGTCTTAAAAAGACGTAAATCAAGTATTAATTTGTCACTGAGTGTAATATTTAGTGCAACATAATGAAATGAAAGAGGCCCTTTTGGTAGCCGAAACGGGAAATAATAAAAAGTCGTTGGCCTTCGATAATAGCTCGCGCCATTAATCATAATTTAAAAATCGATTAATTTGGAATCGATTTTGTGTCGGTAGAGATATTTATTGTGATGATGAGAAAAATGTAGTGAATTTGAATATATACGATGAATTCTTGAGATGTTTAATATGAAATTAAATTGGAGATGAGAAGAGTTTGTTAATGGATTCATTCTATATTGCGTAATGTGATTATACTCGAATGGAAATAATCAAAAAAGGATCTCAAATAAGAATGGTTGATGTTTGAGAGTAGTGAGTAGTATAGAAAAGAAAGAAACTGTTGTTGTTACTGCACGGTGGCTGTGTATATCAGATCCTATCGATCTCCAATTTCTGCGACGAAATGTCGTGGCCTCTGAAACGAGATGTCGATCGAGGTGGTCCCCCATGTCCAAGAACTCTCTACGGATGGACCTAATTGCAAGAAGAACCGAAAACCTTAACATCCTCCTCCTCCTCCTCTTCTTTCTCTCTCCCTAGTTTTCGATCCCAGTGCCCAGTTTAAATTCGCAAACACATCACCTCAGGCACGGCGCTTTTGTGAACGCTGCGTCATAAATCGGTTAGCAAAAACGTCCGCCATCAGGATCTTCCATTTTGCTCAGTAAAAACCATCCGCTTCATCTTCTTCATCTCTCTAGTCACGTTCAAACTTGTTGTGAGTCTCTTCATCAACAATAAAAATATCACAACTCTCTGTTTTAATCGTTTAATTATTAATTTCATTTTTTTATACATTCAACTGGGTACAAGTTATAAAACATAACCTCTTTTTTATCTTAACTCACTTTTGGGAAGAAATTATTAATTAAGTTGGTACTGATCATCATCCAGCTGTTTTTTATTTTTTTAACAATCACTAGACCTTTAAAAAAATATTTCCCGTTTATTATAATTAATAATAAATAATTAATACCTTTTGATGAGGTTATATGGACACATGAAGTTAGTCAACAATCGAAATATATCGAAAATGCTGTAAGTCATTTCTTATTGGTTAACAAATTCAAATGATCATCAATTGATTGGTGTTTAATGTTCTAGATAAATATCAAAGATAAATGTAAAAAAAAAAAAAATTATCTCACCTGGTCTGATGTGGGCCTTGGATGAGCCCAATAATTATGAGGGCAATCGCGATCACCGCGATGTCACCACGACGCATCTCTTACATCACAATCACTCTTAATTACTGATTTCATCAAACAATAGTACAGTAACACTTAATGGATAAATATTTATTTAAACAAGATGGTGAAGTTGAAATATAAATAAGACACTTGTGGAAAGTTAGCAAAGTAGTGCGTATATATTTTAATCAACGACTATCAATAATAATCAATTGCGCCATGCGTTAATTGATTATCCTAATAATCGAATACCAATGAAGCCATGGGTTCATGCATGTAGAAATGGTCATTAGCAAGACACTAATTAATGAACATAACCACAACGGCAATCTAGTTATACAAACTAACACACTTTGTTCTTGGAAATTAATTCCAACATTTTCATTTACTTTTATTTCCATTTAAAAAGGATTTTGATTATTTTTTAAAATAAATCAACATTCACTAGCACTTATTTTCATCTGATAATACACTAGATAATTCCATTAATAATTAAAACCACTAATTCACCAGCTAATTGATTCAATGAAGAATAAAAAGTGTCGAGAAAGAATGAAAAAGCATGTCAACTATCATCAACGAGGGTAACAGATCAAGTGAGTAGTCTTGAGTGTGTGTAAAAGTCACTTGGAAAACCACGAGAGCCACCACCTCCACCACCTTCTAACTTGGACTACTGTTGATGAACGTTATGGAAAAAATCACTGGTGGTCGTGGTGATTTGAATGAGTGGTCAGAACAACACGACAGTGTCACGAGTATCAACAACCACATGGGGACTTGAACAGAGAGAGTACGTTTGGACGACTGGAAGCTCCGCGATGGACTGGCCCGGCGGCTTCTCTATACCTTTGGGATCAAGTCCCACAGCCACTGAGCATCTAACCTCTCCACTTCTCTCATTCTCTCTTAGCTCTCTTTCTCTCACTCTCTAGTGTTCCAGTTCGTCTTCATACCTCTGTCTGTCTCCTCATTTAGCCACTAAATTTCGATCATTTTCTATTTTTTATCATCATTTTCGCTGAGACAAAAGAGCGGAGGAATAGACACGAACTAGAAGAGAAGACCTCTTAGAGTCGGATTTCAAGTGTCGTGACATTTTTATTAAGATCAAAGTTGATGATCGCGTGAGTAATAGGACTGGACTGATGGGATCGTCAGGTATAACAAGTTTAATTTATTCTTTTTTTCCTTGTTCTTTCTTCCTCAGTCTTTGGCTTAATCTGTCGAAGCTTTGGCTTTTTGACTAGGGAATAAATTTCACCAAATGATTGGTTGAGTTCAGGAACATTGTTAGAAATAGATAAAAAGCTTATTTAGTGGCTTTCATTATTTTTTATCAACCTCCAAGAGAAACTAAAAAATACACCATGGTGTTGAAAAAATACTTGATGATCAACCTAAGTCTACACTTCATTCAGAATGTACTTTTAATAAGAACAATGTTAGCTTGTGTTTAATTAAAATAACTTGTTGATCATTAATTATTGCTGGGATTATCATCTCCAACATCTAACATCACATTTTAACAATCAATCTTAGAGGTAATCTAATTTAAAATAGAAAAATTACTTGTAATAAGATTAATCTTTCTCAACATCTCCATAGTTCCTATTCTTCAATCCTTTGTTTTGATAACCTTAATGGACCTTTGAGGATTTTGGATTGGAATGAAGACTAGGACAAGCAGAAATAAACTTCAAAATCCAAGCTAACATTTAGCTAATGATAATTCCTGATCATTGATTGCTGCTAGAATCATCATCTCTATCATCAAGCATCATTATCACCTCAATTTGAAGTGGATCTTTTGCTATGGATTTTATTTAAAATAATTCATCGGCCTTTTGGTTGTCAATAGTTGATGAAAAATAATCTGCAATGCTTCAGAATAATTTAAAAAGAAATAAAATTATGTAGACGACACAGTGACATTTGGCGACGCTGTGCAACGAGACACAATTCCTGTTATTTGTTCCTGCAATTGAAATAAAAAATGCACAAAGGGAAATGGAGTATATACGGTTGTCATGAATTGGCGGTCGTGTATATACAATCACTACAACTGCCCAGACACGTTTTCAAGTCCTAACAACACATAAATGTATACGTATAGACACACAACTTCCTTCTTTCTCTTGCTCATTCTCTCAATATGTACATTCATTGAAAGCTGAGCTCAACTTAACAATATCGACATGAATAAAATCTATGGGTAAATAAAGAGGAGCTGAATACATCATCAAGACTCTTGTTTCAATTTATCACAACGAGTGATAATTAATTTAGCTAAATATAAATAAATAATTGTGATGATTTATTTATTGATTGATTTTAAAATGGAGATTTGTTTGGGAAGAAAAGAATTAACGTTTCAATGAATAATTGAATCATTTTATTCTGTTCAAAGAGTAATAATAGTTGCAACTAAAATGGACTTTTATCTGTTGATGTTAGTTCTCAGTAAAATAGCTAATCAAATAAAATTAGAGCAGATGGTTTGCTAAGTCTATAATTTCATGTAATTAACGCTCATGTTCCAGAGTCACCCTATGATTATTTATTTCTGTATGTATCCAATAAAGTCAAAAGAAGAAAGCCGTTAAATATTTTTACCCTACATGGAGAGAAAAAAATCTACAAAGTTTGTAGAGTGATTTGATTATTTTTAGTGCTAATCTTTCAAATATTGTTGACAATTTCACTTGTAAATTAATTTTCCAACTAAAAATGGAAGACCGGAAAAATGACTATGCTACACTCTACTTCCTCATTTATTTCTGCAAAAATAATATTACTTTCAAGGATAATTATTAAATGAAACTATTTTTTAATGAGACAAAAAAATTTTTTCTCTCCATCTATAGAGAAGTCTAAGAACAAAAGATTTATTAAATAAAAAATGAGAAGAGAATTTTTTTTAAGAATTTTGATTAAAAAAAAAAAAAGGCATTCCTTTGATAAAGGAAACAACACTGAGCAGAATCTACGTGAAAAGATTGTACTATTCCGGTTCTGGAATAAAATATAATGAGACAGTCACTAGGTCATCGTACGTTTTATCATATATATTTAAACCTGACTTGTTACATTTTATTCCCACAGTGATTATTATTTTTTATTCTCGAAATATAAATCAGGTGTACGAATAAATAATACCAAGTGTTGGTGGATTTTTTATCTCAATAAAAAATGGTAATAATAATATTGAAAAGAGGGAGGATGGTTGGGAAAAAAAGGCATCACATGAACGATCAAATAAATGAATGATAAAGTTTTGAAAAAAACGAAGGGTGTAATTTATGTGGCAATAAAGCATAAAGCCTTTTGGATTGAAACAGAGAAAGCATGCCAGAATTATATTGATATTATCCATATTGATACGATATTCTCTTCTCCACCCGCGAGCAAATGAATCACGCAAGATGATAGCAATCGAATTCGGACACGAGGGTATCAGTCATCCCTGCTTGCAGATGATTACACTCACGAGATCGCAGAAATAAGTTCCATTGCCCCCCTTGGAGTCATCAGATCATGCTTCTAGATGTTCGAGAACTGTTTAAACAATATTTTGTATTTTAATAATAAATTAGGTTTGTTTATTAACATAGTTGTTTAACAAAAAAATTGTCAGGCAGTCATAGAGACTGGTGATAGAAGTGATAACTTAAAAGTATAAAGTAACAATGGTTTGTTTGAATTTTTAAATTAATTTTAATTTTTTTCTGATTAATTTATGTTTACTTATTGAAAAACAATAAGAAAAAAAAAGATGTCAACAACACGTGGTGTTCCCAAGCGGTCACCCATCCAAGTACTAACCACGCTCAATGCTGCTTGACTTCAGTGATCAGACGAGAACTGGTATTTTCAGCATGATATGGTCGTTGACGATAACATTAGAAAAAAAATTTAACGCACTCATAGAGATTGCTGATAGAAATGGAAACTTAAAACTATCAATTAACAAATGATTTGTTTGAATTTTTAAATTAATTGTAGTACCAAATATTAAAAATTCATTATTTATAAATGAAACTTATTGATATTAGTCCAGTTTCAACATCTATCGACACTCCAAATAATTATTCTATTCATTTTCCGATAGTCTATTTATTAATTAAAATACACCATAGATTTCGCAAATTCAGTACAAAGTATTAATACTTCTTCATTGTAAAAAAAAAAATACTCTAAATAGCTGTTAAAAATATTCAAACAAAAAATAAAGATGAACAATACTGCTGGGTATTTACAATGTCAAACATCAATTAGATAAGAGGTACCTGACTACAATTAAGAGGATTATTTTTTCTAATTGCTGATTATTACTACCGGATGATATTGTGCAATATATTTGTGCTCACATTTACCAGTTAATGATTGTATAGGTGACAGTGAATCATGAATAAAGAAGTTAAAAGCATATCCCTGTCAATAAAAATTTTATTTCTCAAAGTTATCCTAATGAAAATGTCAAAGATTACATTGGATAGTAAATTTTTTCATCAACACACCAGGAAGCCTCGAATATATTTTTTTATTTTATTTCATTTTATCATACATACATAAAGCGAGGGCGTATTGTCAGTGTTTCGTATATCTGATTATGGATTTCGAACTCACATATACATACCACCAACTTTAATGGGATGTTATTAGCTTTATGATTGTGTTATTTATACACCAACCAATTACAAAGCTTTATGAACCTTTGAGTAATAAAAACGTTTGACTTGTAACGATCCTGAGATTCCTGAAATTTTTTACAATTTTAAAATATTCATTTTTTTGTTCAATCATATTTTAAATGACTTTATTTATTAATAAACTAAATTAACAGCTTGTTGGCAATAATTATTACTTAAATAAATTTTTTTATCATCAACTCATAACCTCCAACACTTTAGAATTTTTTTGCTTCAATAAAGCTCAAGAAAAGTGAATTTAAAATTCAAAAATTATTTTTTTAAAGTAATAACTAGTAATCAGAAGAAATCTAGCTATCAATCAATTTTACCGTTTAATTTAGCAATAATAAATGAGTAAAATTGAGTTAAAAGTGAGGTTAAACATTGAACCCAATAGCAGAAATAAATTCAGGTAGAAACAAAATAATTAAAAGTTTTATAATTGTGTTTATTATCAATTCTAATTGTCAAGTTTCACTTAATATCAAATATTGTCATTTATCTTGAAATTAAACATTGGATTTCTATATACAATACTATTAGTCGTGCAGTTACCTTTTGAAATCATCAAAAGTAATGTTATGTAATTTTTCTAGACTACATTTGCTGGTTAAGAATAAGATATTCAAGATAATTTCATCGATAGCACTGGAGAGAAAATAAATAAAAGAAAGGAAAAGAAGAGAGGAAAAAAAAATGGAAAAAGAGGAGATTATCCAAATCTTTTGTATCTGGAAGCTTGGTAACAATACCGTATTAGGCAGTAACAGGCTAGTAGCCCTTGTACATAGAATGGTCCATTGTAAGTGGCAAACATCTGCCAGTAATACAAACTGCTAATAAAAACATGAAAAAATTCATAGAAAAGCAAACAGGAAGGAACAAGACATAATGGAGATGTTGGAGAGTTTTTTAAATTTTATCATAATGCAATATGCAATTATATTGGCTTAAATATGAATATATTTCCGTTTCACTTGGTTATTTTAATTGCGTTGAAAGTCATGTAGATGATTAGATTAATAATAGAAAAGGATTAAAAGAGTGGAGAAAAATTTACGAGTTTCCTACACGGAAATACTTTGACTCCAGGCGCCTACATGAGCTATAAGAGATGT